GGGGTGAGTAGAAAATGAAGGCTAATCATGTTTTGGGTGTACTATTCCTTTAAGGCTTGATTATATAATTTATCATAAAAAAACGGACTCTAAATGTCCAAGCTGCTGCCTTTTCTACCCTCTGTGAAAAACCGCTTTGTTCCAGTGCAGCCCTCTTCTGCTGCCGAGGTTTAGCAAGCTGTTCACTGGTGGCGGCACAGACCTGCAGCCCTGACTCCAGCAGATGAGAACTTGCTCCATCTGCTGGCTGCAGTGGATCTGACCCCTCTGTGACCTAAAGGCAGTAGGAACCTTGTCGATGACGAAAGCTCAGTGACAGTTTCTCCACTTTGGCTGAACTTTGTCCTTTTTTCATTGAGCTGATGAAGCAGTTTGACGTCGGTTTGATGCAGACCTGATCATCTGGTGGAAAACTGTCTCTTATTCACTCGTCTGTTTGGTTTTTGCAGCAGTCAAGCAGCTGAAAGAGAGCGTCTGCTCTTCAATCCACAAACTGGCCAACTTTGACGGTACGTGTTTCCCCTGATTGTTCATCTGCAGTCAGTAGCTGGTTTAACCATCTAATGCTCCTGGGTTTTTACAGAAGTCATGGATGCCCACCTGCAGAACAGCCAGACAGCAGAGGATGAGCTGCTGGCCAGCCCCGACCACCTCAGAGGTAAATGTCACCGACCTACAGCGCCCTCAGCGTGGTCACGGCTGCACTCACTCAGTCCTCTACTGTTATCGTCCCCACAGGGAACCAAATGGACGCCAAAGAGTCCGACATGTCCGACACGCTGAGTCCCAGCAAAGATCGCAGCAGTGACGAGGCGTCAGGTGAGCAGAACAGAACCCCAAACCCCAGTCCTGCTTCAACATCAGAAAACATCTGCATTCCTTTAAAGGCTCTCTGAGGATAGAAACCTGAATTGATGTTCGTCTAAAGCTAGAATATTCCAACTTGGCAACAATAAAGGTCCATTTCTTTAGTTGTTGCTTGGAGGAGATCAGCCTTGGTACTGCTGAGATGTTCAGGAAGAACCGCTAGCTTCAATAGCACCCTTTAGGTCAGCTTCGTCATCCGCTCCTCTTTCTCTTTACAGTATTCCATAGATTTTCCATAAAGCTGCATTCAGGTCCTGCTTGAAAATGAACCGAGTTTCTCCACCGAGGTTGAAAGGCTCTAAAATGTTCTGGTAGATGGGTCCACTGGACTGGAACCAGCTGATGACAAGGAACCCAAATCATCCCTGACTGTAGAAACTTCTCCACTCCTCCTCACGCTTGGAAGAAATGTGAACTTTACGTTTATCTGCTCGTCCCTATGCTCTGACTCAGTTCTCTCCCTCTTAACTTCTGAGTGTAGCTGATGCACTTTTTTCCTCCACCTAACTTTCTGTGAATATGCGTTAAATGTCTCTCAGAGTTCTAACTTTTTTTAAACGAATGATTTGGTTTTTATGATCTGTTAGCTCTGATCATTGGAGATGTTTCAGAGGATGCTGCTCTGGATTTTCATCATGTTTCCTTGATCTTGAGACGACAATGAATGAAGAAGACAATTGAAGTTCAGCTGCTGAGATTCTTACAGCTCCATTCAAACCTCTCTGCCAGTCCAGGAATAAAAGCTGCTATGTTTGCACTTTGACTGCAGCTGATAGTGGTCTGTGTTTGGTCTCAATTCAAATCAGTTTATTTCTTTGGCGCCAATTCACACGTCAACTCAAGGCACTTTACAGAGACAATACAGTCATTCAGGTCACAGTCCTTCCAA